GACCCAGCATGTGGACTAGGATCCCACCTTTACTGAGCACGACATCAAAGTGACGGTTACATTTGTGGTGTGTACGTTGCCCACTGACTATATTTTTACGTGGAGAACTACGTTTCGACAGCTGAAAAAGCGGCTTCGACTAAAACGGGGCATCTGTCATCGATAGAGCTGGGAGATAATTCGCTACGAGCTCTGTGTCCACATGATATTTGGTATTGATAAGGACGGTAAATATTGGAATACACTTTGCTTCGTCTCATCTTGCGCCAAATGCTCTTCGTTTCTTTGTTTACGGTGTAAAGATAGTGTCTAAACAAGGGTGAGTAAGCGAGCTTGCCTACTACCACTGCCACGTCTTGCGCTGACGCACAAACCGTCAGGAGTAAGAGTAGTACCGCTGAAGTCAACTGATAGACATCGTGCCTGAATACTTGAGCTGAGGGTTACTTGTGCAAGATTGATGTGCGAAGCAAAGCACCGCACATCAAACTTATATTTTTAAATGTAAGCAAAGCCGTGTTTCTAGGAGATGCTCCGGATTACACTACTATGTGTGAATAAATAAATTTACTGCAGCAATTCTTGCGCCCGTTATATAAGATCTGCATTGGATTGTCGTACCCAAAAAAGTGGGTTTTCTATTTAAACGTGCATAGCCTGTCATTTCAGGTTGTATCAGAAACAGCATTTTTACTTTTAAATAGATGAACGGTAATGTATAACTGAATATCCTCTGTACCAGTGATGTCACCCAGCTACAGCTGGAATATCCTCTGTACCAGTGGCATCACCGGTACAGAGGATATTCAGTTACGACTAGTCGAAGCAATTTAATCTGCGCGAATGTTGTTCGAACATACTTCAGCTTTCACGCAGACGATGCAGCTGAAAAGCAGGTGAAGCAGGTGCAGCAGATGCGTACGACATACCATACCGTAAAATCCGACCTCCGACCTTATAGGACCTGTGCCAATAATGTGGTACATCAAACAAAAAAAAGTCAACAGACTTTATTTGACAGTTACGGTACTTAGCTGTAATCAATGTGATTGGATGTGCAAGGATGCCAACGCGCGATTTGAACCTTCAAAAGATAGCGTGTTGTGTCAAGTTTATAGGCGGCTCAGAATCGCCTGAAACGACGTGTAGACTGCGAAAAACGCGAAAAACTCAAATTCTGGAAATTCTGCTCGAGAGCCATGTGCTCTCGGGCCAGTAAATAAGGAAAGTAAACTGAAAGTGGTGGTGATCCGGATAATCGGACGCTGTCCGGATACTCGAGGATATTGGCAGCCAACCATCCATAAACGAGCATGATTGGGCAATCACCGCCCAATAACAAGGCACCATTTGGCTCCGTGCATACAACAACCAGTCAGCTTCCAGCCGCAGACAGCCAACCGGTGTTGCCGACAGCACGATCACGGCCTCACTTTTCATATTTTTTCCCTAGTGACCAGACCTATTCCTCGGCTTCTGTGACCGCACAGGCCGTCCAGGTCGTACCGTAAGTATCCGATAAGGAACCGCTGCCCCCCCCCTGAACGACAACGTAGCTCAGTGGTGAGAGCGCAGGGCACTGCGCTGAGGATGATGGTTCGAAGTCAACCGTTACATTTATTTACTCTGCTGTGTATGCTTACTGCTCTTGCTGTTTTATTACTAACTACTATAAGCGCAGCTTCATTCATTGACTAGTGTTATATGCATTCAACATGTATGTGTTTTGATCACTCATGTCCTAAAGGGCTGTAGCCACAGGCTCAAGGAGATCTTGGCGATCGGGGTCTTGGACAGCGCCGGAGTGAAGCAGCTTTCAATAGCGCGCGATGATGTCGTTGAGTGCCCCAACAGTGTGAAGGTTGTGCAGGTGCTTCCGGACAGCTGTGGGGCCACGCGCTTTGATCGTGCGAGTACTGAGAAAGCTTAGCACCGCTAGCTCTGCCTTCTTACCTAGTCTCAGTGTCTTGTCGCGGTAATCGGATGCGCTTGAATCAAGGGCGAACCCGTCGGACAAGAAGGGATTCATGAGCGCGACGAGCTGTTTAGAGCTGTTCCGCTGCTGTTTGGGGGGAAGCAGCAAAGTCAACGAGGCTCCTAACCGTACCACGCGTACCACGTCTTGTGCAGGTAAGTGACGGAGCTTCGTCGACGCTTCAGTGGATTGATTCATTCTTGTTTTTGTTCTGGTTTTTGATCTTTACTGCTCTGACGCTTGCCGCCGTGTTTGCTACTTTCCATTTAAGTTTCTAAAATATTCATGCGCTCATTTTGGCTCTTCACTAGCTGACCTAACTGGTCAATCACACTACGTTGGTGCTCAATGCGCGTGCTGTCTTGGCTTACTTGCTTAGGTGATGCGGTTTTCATGTCATGTGCAGTAGCGGGCTGCTTCGCATTGCAGGCAGCGTCAGCAAGATGAGTCGACCAAGCTAGTAGGTCCGCCAGCGTCAACCCTGCCAGTAGCACACAGGACTCCAAGCGCTCTCCCCTGACCCCTCGGGATGAATCTCCTTCAACCGCGGATAGTGGAGAGGAAGGTAAGCCATTAACACATCAAGGACACGGTAACTCACGTTGTACTTGACTTGGCCTAGCTTAAAGCATGTAGTGAGCAGGTACGCCTTAACAGCTTCAATTTCCTCCCGCGTCTGCGCACCGGAGGACTTTAAGCCCCTCAAAGGTACCTTAGCTGTACCACTGAGAGCCTTGCTAACCTTGTGATCTTTGCGGCTTATGTTGAAGACATAATTGGAACCCTTGTTCGTTGTGCTCATGTTCCAGGCGCCACGGTCGAAGATCCAGCGATGCGTGAGGCCGTCACACCCATTGACGCGCTGTGCTCCGCCCCGGCGAAACGAGTGGGGAGAGAGAGCCACTTCAACGCCAGCGATTCCAGCGGTCCGGTCAAGCGCTCGATTGACGTGCGAGTAGATGGTCGGTGTCTTTTCAGCAGCAGCACTTGACGACGCGGCGCTAGCATCAAGTGCGGCATACTCGTCAGGGTGGTCAAGCACCTCCAGAAGCGGCGTGGCTAGGTACAGGGAGACGGCAGCTTGAACAGGAAGCGCTGACAAGTTGTCAAGCAGATGACGCATGGAGACACCTGCGTCACAAGCACCAGCGCGATGGCGTACAGTGGGCACGTCACGAAGTCGAGATCAGGAAAGTGCGAGAGATCTTGCTCCTCGGACGTCTTGGGCCGGATGAAGCGCACGAAGAGGATGCCGGCGGCGTCGATGATGATGTTCTACTTCTGCACGAGCGACAGGTCGGACGCGAACAGGTACCACAGCAAACACAGTAGCGCTGCGTTCTTATAATCGCTTGAAGTAGACGCATTCTTTTACAAATAAAGCATCAACTTACGCAAATCGGTCTTAGAGCAAGGTGGGGCCTTATTTACGACCTTGCCATCTATTCTCAGACAAAAACTATCTAGCGTCCTCTCCATACTAAGCAACGCTGCTTCGACAGTGCGTCGCTATGTAGGGAAAGGCTAAAAAATACATTTTAATCTGTCTATAGTACTGCATGACTATATTACGGGCCCGTTGTTTGCTCTTTGTGCCTTCATTAAAGGCAAGATACGTAACAAACAGATTAAAGGCAAGATACGTAACAAACAGATCTAAGATAGACAGAACGCATTCCCCACTATCGTCTTTCTCAATATAGCTCCTTACATATTAAAAATCTACAGACTCACTCTTAACAAATGCCTTGAGCGCCGCAAAGGCGGTTGCTTTTGCACGTTTTGTGTTTCCGGGCTTGAGCTCTTCTAGTCCCATCCTTATCGGATGTTTTGCAAATTTGCAAGTGATACATTCATCACTTACTTTTTTAAACGAAATACGCATATTTTTCGTGTCATATCGACTTAATACGTCGGATTGGCTGGCTACCCACCTACCCCTAAAATTGTTAGCAAAAAATAGGTAATTGTGCTATTGTGATTGGTCCATATTAATGAAAATGCTGTAATAGGCAACTTTAGGCGCCTACAAAACTCAAGTAAGGTCGAATAAGTGCGGATATTTATCTAAACCTATAATATGGTCGCCGTGCGACTCGCACAGTGTGATTACGTATTTACTTCGGTAAACAGGACTGCACCCCTTTTTCGCGCCCTTGAGCCTTTGATAAACTTCCGGATGTGATGATCCTAAATCCAAATAAGCTATAATTTGTTTGGCAAAAATCAGATTTATTTAAATGGTCTACCCCCGCGAAAACGGGGTGCAGTACTGTACGTAGTAGTTTACAGTAATGCGTCAATTAGGAAACATGGGAGCTGATATCCTCGTAAACACTATATAGAATAAATTGACAGGTACATACACTTGAGTATGCTATAAAGTTCGGCAATAAGGAACGCTATTAATAAGATTTATTCTTGAAAAAGGTACTTTTCAATCTGTACAAATTGAAAGTACCTTTTTCTGACACTTTGAGTAGGCTAAGCTCCTTACTGACATGTAAAACCAATGGTGAAGCAACCGCCCTAAGGTTTTTGAAGAAAACGTTAGTTTGGGATCTGAGTTTTAGAACTTAGAGTAGTTCTGGGTAAAACTCTGGAAATAAAATCCAGAGAACACCTAAATTTGGAACCGGCTAAGTACACTACCGGTGTGAAATTCGGCCGGTCTACAGTCCCTAAGTCGCCAGTACAGTACTGCAACCCGCTTACGCAAGGGTGGACAATACAAGATTTACAAATAAATCAGATTCTAGAGTACAACCATTTGTTCATTTGGATTCAGGAGCATCACATCCGGAAGTATATCAAAGGTCCAAGGGCACAAAAACGGGGTGCAGTACTGTAGTTGGTCAAAGTACATGTACACTGTCCTTGCTGATTGGGACGACGTGGCCAATCCTGCGTCCCATTTGCGCTGCGTCAATCGTACCTGAGTATTGACTCAATATTCAGGTCAAGGTCTCCACACCCTCATCGTACGTCATTACTCATTCCGCAACACGCACGCCGAACACTTAAGATGGACGTGCGTCAAGTGCCAGTGGTCGACATCAAGGCCCTCATGGCCTTCCGCTCAGACGCCGAGGTGGACGCCGCTCTGCGTGACGTCAAGGACACAGCTCTCCGCAAGATCATCGAGCACGTCCGCGCTGCAGCGAGCGAATGGGGATTCTTCTACATCGCCAACCATGGCCTCCCCGAGAAGGACGTGGACAAGTTCCAGGCCGCAATGCGCTCATTCTTCAACCTCCCGAAAGAAATCAAGAACACGATTCGGCGTAGCGCCACAAACTCCAGAGGCTACTTCGATGACGAATTGACCAAGAACAAGACAGACTGGAAGGAGTGTCTTGACTTCGCAGGGGTCAATGAGGATGGCCCTGCGAGTGACAAGCACGAGCGACTAGGAGACGACCAGAACTTGTGGCTTGAGGACAAGCACCTGCCACAATTTAGGCAAGAAATGGTCGTGTACTTTAACCAAATGGAGTACATCTCGCGTCGTTTATTGAAAGTATTTGCGGTGGCATTGGGCGAGGAACCGGCGTTCTTTGACCAGTTTTTCCACGGTGACAACTCGAGTTTCTTGAGACTGAACCACTACCCGGTGGCTCCAGATCCCGAGAAGACCATGGGGGTGTATCACCATACAGACGCCGGTGCACTGACAGTGCTGCTTCAAGACGATGATGTGGCGTCGTTGCAAGTTTTCCACCGAGAGTCACAGACGTGGACGCTAGTGCCTTCACGTAAGGGAACGTACACGATCAACATTGGCGACATGGTGCAAGTCTGGTCGAATGATAAGTTTGTCGCCCCGCTGCACCGCGTACTGGCCAGTGGAGGCGCAGATCGATTCTCGGCTCCGTTCTTCTACAATCCGTCGTACAAGGCACAGGTCAAGCCAATTGTCGTGAAGCAGGACGAAGAGGCCAATTACCGTCCACTGAGCTGGCGCGAGTTCCGGCTAGCTCGCTTCCAGGGCGACTACGCCGACAGTGGAAAGGAGATCCAGATTGGAGACTTTAAGATCCACGGACCGGTTGACGTTGCCAACTTGTAGGCTGCAGAACTCTTTGAGGAATCATTCACGAGATAATAGTTTACTGTAGTTGCACAAATGCGAAGTTACGATCTCGACCTATTCGTAACAGTGTACTTACGAACGCTGGGTCGGTAGTCTTGGTTTCGATACCCTTACGTATCAATGGCAGCACTACTGACAGGGTTGCAAATGATTGGTTAAATATCCACGCAAAGTAAACTTGAAGTGCTTCATCAAAAGCTGCAGACGCCGCTCTCCTACGTGTAGAACTTCACTATTAACATCACCCGAACGACTTGCTTGCCGCACTGCATGGTGTGCTGGCAATTGTTGTTCCTGAGCTACGTTTTTCTACAGTCCCTCATAGTATGTGTCATACAACGTGCAGGTGAATTATGCACGGGGACGTGTCGAACTACCGTCCCATAAGCTAACGCCAGATAAACCTTTACAAAGGGAAGTTTATACGCTGGTACCGGAAAGGAGATCTTATACAAGCTTCACGACGCAATCGGCGACGAAAGTTGTTCTATACCAGTAGCATAAATCTTTTTTTTACAAGTCTCGTTTCAATTCTGCCTTGCAGCGTCCGAGTAGACCCGATTTAAGTCACCCAAGTTGGGTGATACTTGTATCCCATGAATAACAAGACGATAGCGTAAGTGTGCATGCAAAGTTGTATTCAGCTCGGGGGTAATTATAACTGACCAATCCGTATTCCCATTAAGGCAGCGTCAAGAGCGTGGCGTTAGTCGTTTCTGTGTGTCCGAAGGATCCGCATCTGCTCATGAGTCGTAAGTCATGGCCGAGGGTTCCATGGCAGAGCTCCTGCAGTACCGAATCTCATTTTGCAACTCGCTAACTCGTGCTCAAGATGGACGTCCGCCAAGTTCCCGTTATCGATATCGGTACCCTCATCGGGCCCTCCACCGACGCCGAAGTCGACGCTGCGTTGCGTGATAGCAAGCAACAAAAATTGGGTCAAATTGTCGACAGTGTACGCAAAGCTGCAAGTGAATGGGGCTTCTTTTACATTGCCAACCACGGTTTCAACTGGCGTCAATTTCAGCTGAATCGTCAACAGGGCAACTACGCCGACGTGGGCAAGGAAAACCAAATCGGCGACTTCAAAATACACGGCCCTATTGATGTTGCCAACGCTTGACAAGTTCGTGTAGATAAGTGCATTCGTAGTGTGGATATTTCGATCGATCGGCTTACAAAAATATACACACTGTCACATTCTACGGTACGTACTTAGTAAACGTCGTTAATTCGTCGTGTTTTTATCACCTAACTTTACTCATATCGAAGGAAATTTACTTTTTTGCTCCATTGATGACGCAGAATCAAATATCACGATGCCAAACTGAGTTTCTACGATAATGCAGTGTCATATTGATTTACGCATTACGGTACCTAGCGGTGAAACGGTTCATTGCACAAATGTGGCTGCGACCTAATGCAATAGAATAAAAATAGTTCCTTGACAGTTTTAGACCGATATTCTCTCAACGAAGAAAACGAAAGAAGCTGCTTTCTAGCCATTTCAGCGAACGCAAGAACCATGCCAAAGCACAATTGCGACGAAGGTGCCGCGGCCAATGACGACTCGAAAGGTTCGTCGTTGGCAAAAGTAAGGAAGTCGAGCTCAGCTTGTGTAACAACGAACCAACGTCACAGCCAGCGATGGCCATGACGTTGGTACCAATGCGTCCTACTTTCTTCTATTTTCTTCCTACTTGTCTTTGCTGACTGCCAACTGTCTTCTTAAGTTGCCAATGAGTGGCCAGGCAGACACACGCCTGACCGGAAGGCAATCACCATGTTTGGACGAGTATTGCCAAACATGGAACTTCAATGACAGTCATTTTTTTCATTTAAATTCACTATGGAGATTCTGACCGGTTCAAATGAACCGCGGCTCACTACTACGCTACGCTACTTCAAGATTCGACTCAAGGACTACTTAGAATCTAGTTTAGTGAAATACATATACTTACATAGGATACAAGGGAATGCTAACAAGCACTTCCTCGTAGCCGACAAACAACTAACCATTTCAATCTCACTTTCCAATTTACCTTCTTCGAGGCACATCAGTAGCTTCCTACGCCCTACCTTCGAGTCTCCAACGTTGGACTCTCGCCACCCTCCTCCGCTTCGCTCGTCGCCACGGGACTCGTTCGTCGTCGCTGTTCCTCTGCGCCTTGCTCTCACCAGTCGTCACATCTGGTAGCAGTTGCTGTTTTTCGTCCGGGAGGGGGTTCTTTATTCTCTATTCGCTACGCGACACGTGGAAAGCCGCTCGTTGAGCGTGTGTCGTCGTTCTTCTCCACATTCGTCGGATTTCTTCGTTGCGACCTCATTTCATACGGCTTGCCGTGTTGAATTTTTGCGTGTGTACTGCACTAAGTGTGGTGTTGGAAATCCCACGTGAACTCTAGCTACAGATGTAGTTAGGATGTTCCCACAACAATACGTCTACTAGGATAGTAAACGATCGTTCGGGCGGACCTGAAGACCCCAGTTCTGCCCTTGCACCGGGACAAACTGGACCTTGTAAACTACTTATATAGGCCAACCAGTTAAATAAGAACACGCTACTAGCACGAGCAAAGCTAGCAGGTGTTTTGAATCCTCGTGGTCCCAACAGCGGAAGGGTACCAGGCACGGGTAAGCCTTTTACGAGATCATCGAGTGTTCAACACTCGGCTGGAAGAAATAAAAGGGAGGGAATTCAAGCACTCCCAGTCGTGCAAATAGGCAGCAATAAGCCGTCACGTAAAACCTCCCGATAATAATCGGCCAATACACAAAGTCTCTTGGCCTTGCCGGATGAACCCTCGCTACAGAGCTTCGAGCTCACCGACAGGCATAACACACTCAAACAAGCTTGACCTGACGCTTACCTTGAAGCCGGACGTCGCTCTGTGTGCTTGAGTGGAAATTCTGTTCTGTATTTAAGCTTACCCTTTCGGGTCTATTCCTAATAAGAAGTCCTAATCAAGTATACAAATATCAAATGAACAATGATCCGTTATGGATCTTCTTGCATGCCAAGCGTCGTCTGCACTGTCGCATGAGCATCTTTAACGGTCCGCGCCCTGTCCCAGACGGTGAACGTGTCTTCCAAAGGTCGCTGAGTATTCCGCGAACTCATCCCAACCGCCGCTGAGGGTTCGTACCGTAGATGGTCCGCTGAATGCGAATCCGGCCAGTCCATTATTAATAATAAGGACAGCCTGGATTCAGTGACATAGGGCCGTATCCGATACTTGTTGAAAACTCGGAGGTGACGCCGTCGAGTCCCTTGCACCTTGGCGTCTCCGTACATCACCCGACCGAGGGTTCGTCGCTTGAACAACTTGGGCGGTGTCACGTCTTTGTCGACGGGTGATAATCCGCAACCACGGAGAAATCACTACACCACAACTGCCCCTGTCGCAATGGAAGCCACGGTACTGGTGCCCGTTGTGACATTTCTTCATTCTTCAATTCACCATCTCGCCACCGTATGTCCAAGCGTCTGAATCGAGCCGTGTCCGACGCTTTTCAGCGTCTCAATCCTCGTAGACGTCGCGAACGTGAACAGCTGGAGGTACGTCAGCTCATCCTTCTCTTGAATCATCGGCACCTTGCTCATCATCTCGCATTACTCGACTTGTTTCTCACGAGGGAAAGGCCGAGGGTTCGAACGTCCCTTCAGTCTGCTACACTTCCTCCGACAGCGGCGTCATCAACTGGTCCTTCGGCGCTTCCTGCCCCAGACTCTTCACTTTCTGCGGGTAGCTCCCTGCAGCACTCCCCGTCGTCGCTGAATCCGCGGAGATGGCTCCTGCTGCTCCTCCTGAAGCTGGTAGCGAGGATTCACAGGGTCCGGCTTCAGCTCCAGCTGCCGAGGCTCAGATTCTTGATGAAGAGGAGAAGAAGAGTGGTGACTCGGCTTCGTTGACACTCTTGGCCACCGCGGCCAGACACTTGGAATCGATTTGAATCCTCGCTGCACGCTCTACGACGTTCTCCAGTATCTCAGCTAACTGTTGAGGTGTCCCGCGTGACTTCGTTTTCAGTGATCGCTCCGCGGTCGGCATTCATGGTTTCTTATTCTTAATCCATTTCCACAGCGTAATCATGTTCATGTTGTTCTTCAAATGCATATACAATTTGTTGTTGCAGTAACGTTCTTCGTCTGTTACCACAGGCTGCATCGCCCTGTGGACCGTGCATACGTGATCCAGTCACGCTAGTCTTCGTCCGCCACTTGCGCCATCTGCAGCCGATTCTCGCTCTTCTTGGCTCGCAAATAGTCGTACAGCAGACCTCCACATGACAAGTTTGATGATGGTTCCCAAGTTGTATCTTCATAGCCAACCCACTTGACTTTGAACTCGCGTACAGCACGCTCCGTGCTCGTCGTTAGTGGTGTTCTGTCGTCGAGGATGGCCTCGACTTCATATTCACCGGCAACTTGGTCTGGTTCCCAGCTGTCCTCAGGCAGTAGTTCCTCATCGAAGTCAAGTCTTGCTTCATTAGTCGTGTCAAGTACCAACCGAGTGTTCGGTCGACTGTTGAATTCGTTGACAGCCTTAAGTCTTGACACATGCACTACTGGGTAAAAGCGATACCCACTTCGATCAGGCAGTTCCAGCTCGTACGCAAACTCTTCCACCTTGCGCTTGATCCGAAAATGTCCATGCCATTGGTGAGCTAATTTCTTCGCCAAGCCCGGTTTGACGCGTTCCATGTACAACCACGCCCGGCTCCCAATCTCAAAAAGAGATCTCGGTGGAGCTCTTGCAGGATCTTCCATCTCTTCCGAAGCTTCTGGAGGGTTCGCCGAGTGTTCGTTTCCACTTGGTTGAGGTACAGCAGCTTTTTCCAGTCGACTCAGGGCCTCATTATGCTTTTTAGCCCTTCGCTCCTTTTCTACAGCCTGATAATCTTTGGCCATAGTGAGGGCGACCTCATGTTGTCGATTGATCTCGCGCCGCCACGCCAGTGCGTCAGACTGCTTGCCGAGTCCTCGTTTGAGTGATGACGACATTGCCCGCAACGTCGACTGCGCATCCCAACCATGAACGAGGTAAAACGGCGTTTCCTTTCTCGTAGTGTCTTGAGAAGTATTAATAGCAAATACTAGCTTCTCCGCGATTTCGTCCCAATCTTGCTGTAGAGGGTCTTCCGCGTACACCCGTACGGACCCCATCACTGACTTC